TTTTAGAAAGTGTTTTGCAGCTCTAGCAACACAAATGGGCTACTAAAGTGCCAGCGATTTTTGTTATTACTCGAGAGTGAATGTTATAGAAAAGAGAGAGAAGAGATAAGAATATTTGATATAAAATGATAAGAAAAATTTACAACCTTTCGTAAACCTGCACCAGTTCAGATCCCAGCTCGGGGGTTCTCGTGGTCAAGAGGTACGGTGTTCGCCTCTCTTCCAATATGTCCCAGGTTTGCAGCCTGACAGCGAAGGAAAATTTATTTTTCTAAAAATCTTTCTCCTTCCACCTCCTTTCCAGCTCTCTAATTATGTTCTCTGTTATCTGATTTCGTCTCCACTTTCCGCCCCAACCCCTTTTACCCCCTCCTAAGGGTTCCTGACTCTTTCTTCAAGTTTTCTATTGCTACTTTTTACCTTTAGGGTAGGTGAGATCTAAAATCTAACGTTCTCGGATATGGACGAAAAAATTTCGGGTGTCCCGTGTGTAAGTTGCGCACGTTAGAGATCCGTTGGTGGTCCTAAAATCGATAAGAGTTAGCTTCAGCCACCGCCCGGGCAAAACTCATAATTGATTCCTGCCAAACTGAAAAAAGCTAAATGTGTCCCACGCTCTCGTGAAGTTTGAACGCTCTAAATTCTAAAACACAAAAAGACAGTTCCGAAAATCTATTGCCAATCTGGAACCCACAAGGGAAAGTCCAAAGAAGTGGATAGGCCAAATAAACGTCCGTCGAACATACAATGTGTCACAGTGCAGTGAAATCAGTTCCGTCGTCAGAGTGGGGTTTTTTTTTCATGTGGAGATATTGGTATCATCTGGGAGTTTATTCAGTTGCCTTTCTATCAATAAACAAAAATTACCTATATGTCTTGAATAGAATTTGACATATTTTGCGATTTAAAGACGTAGGGTTGCCTGGTTTCATTAGTAAAATTAGGGAGAAAAGGGCTGCCAAAGTGTGATAACTTCAATAGCTTGAGAATCCTTGAAAACAGTACCTTTACCCAACGGGTTTTTTACTGCAAAATTCACATACATCTATGATTCTACTTGGACGTGAAATGCGTGGAGCCAAGAAGCTAAAGACAAAATAGATCAAAGTTATCAAATTTCAACGCACAATAGGAACATTTCTCTCCTTGAGCGTGTGCAAAAAAATACCGTCACTTGCGATACATATTTTTTAAAAAAAACAACAGGCCAATGTAGACATATTTAAATTTGCCTCCTCAAAAACGTGCAAATAGCGGAGCCTAATACGACAAAAACAGCAAAAAGAAAAAAAATGTACATTGTACGATACAAAATAACAACAAAAACGTTAGACATGACACAATGCTGCTATCAGCTTCATTAGCTTTCACAAAAGTAAAAATAATACGTACGCTGAACGAAATCGGTAACTTTACGGGCTTGTTGCATATTTAATGATTCCGGGCAACCAGTTACCTGTCCCCCGGGTCTGATAACTTACTCCTTTGTCCGCGTTTTTATGGTTTGGTCTTGTTATAAAAAACGTACTCAAATACTCGCAAGTGTATATATATATATATATATATATATAATGTATTTATATATATATATATATATATATATATATATATATATATATATATATATATTATACTCTTTTAAATTTTCAAAGTTTTCACCTCATATTAAAGGCAATATTTTGACTATTGCTTATCTAATCTTATCTGAAATAATCAGATAACACAGTGGATTCAGTTTACAAGGGAAACATGTTGAATGAAATGAGAAGAGTGTTTTTAGTCTGTAATTTTGAACTTACAGTTGTCGGGGGTCTAAATTAAAAGTGACAGCTTTAGTAACGAGAGTGATGATTTAGATATTCACATCGTCGACGCATGAACAGAATGAGCCGTGGTATTAGATGCTGCGGGATATTATTCCAATCTTCAATTAAAGGCTTGTTACTGAGCACGGGTCCGTGGCTGATGTGTTCTGGCTCGAATGAGTGGATCTAAAATGGCCAACAAGGGCTCAATTTGATTGAGATTTGGTGAATGCCCTGATCATATGCGCGGCACAAGAATAGTGTTACCTTTGAGAAATTGATTTGTCATAGCAGTTTTATGAGCAGGTGGGGCTTGAATTTCAAAGAAAAGTACATTGGGCTCGAGAACTTGGTTGGTGTAGCCTTGAGCTGTTATGTTCCAACGAATAGACAGAAATATGGTCTTGCCAGCTTCACTGATTCCAGCCCACACCATGACATTGCCTCCACACTGAAGAAAGCTGAGATGTACCTTACGTTGTGTCATCTGTACTGTATACTCTAAGTCTTGCCCGTCCTTCATGACGTTCCTGTTGAAATTGAGACTCCTCTGGAATCATGTACGTATTCTAAATACGACATGGCTTCCTCTCGCAATGCTGTGCCCAGTGAGCATTCTAGCTTTTAAGCTAGGCGAGTACAGGGCAATTTTAGTTGCGCAACAGTTGCTGTCTCCAGGCATCTTATTTCATGCA